TTCTATAAAAATATACTGTGCTTTAAAATATGGATGATAGTATCAGCCGCTCTTTCAGCCACTTCAAAAGCAACAGTTTGTTTAGAAATAAATTATGCAGTTAATGTCATAAAATTCAAATAAACATCAAACGAAAATTCTCAGTTTTAGACAATTCGATTTAAGCGAAATAAAGTAGCAGACGATGAAACGCCGAAGGTAAAAATTTGCTCTTACAAAAATTTACGAGAGAAATTTAAAAAAATAGTTAAAAATTTGAATAATATCATCTGTAATTAAAAAAAATAGCTTTTCATATAGTATTAATAAATATTTATTACGCATCATTGAGGGAAAAAATTTTATATAATTAATTTCTCCGTAAAACTTTACTTGAAATTTAAGGTTAAAAATAGCTGTGGCATTCACTGTAACAAAATCCATAGACCATTTTGGCGTTATTATCGCTCAAAAAAAAAGATGCCAAATTTCAAAACGCAAAAATATGTAAATTCGTGTATATCTTAGAAAATTTTGAATAAAAAAGTCTAATTTTTTGCAGATATGCTTAAAAATACACCTACTTTTAAGATGATGGTAAAATTTTTGTAGGTTATAATTCAAAATGTTTTTCGAAAATTTATAAAAATTATTTAAAAATAGAAATTTAAAAAATAAACACAAAAAATGGGTAAATTTTATTTGGAATGAACTTAAATTTCGAAATCTGAGAGAAAAAATCAAAAAAGTTTAATAAAAAAAGAGATATTAATAAATATTTGCCAAATTCAATTAACATTGAGGAGCTAAAATTTTGAAAGTTAATATTTTAAAAACTACTCGTACGATTCTTACAAAACTTGGTATTTGGCATAATTTGAGTCATAGAATCGAAATATGTAAAAAAATTGGTATGTTATTTCAGAAAAAGTCGATTTTGTGTCAAAATACCTATGTTAGAATAGTGCTATATATAAATCTAATATATATCCTAAGCTGTGCTTTCGAGACTTGAGAAACGCAGTTTGAATTTTGTCAATCGGCCCAGTAGAATGGGAGATATAGCACTGTCCTATTTTTTTTTTTTATGCACATGTGTATGTTTCTCATAAAATAATAATAAATTAATAGAATTAACATTTAAGAAATAACAGTATGTATGTGGTTCAAGGAAAGTAAAACAATAATGAATTATTTCAAAAATAAAACTAAAGCAAAAATGTAAAAAAACCAAAGAAAAAAATCTGTAAAACAAATTTTGAAAATAAGAAAATCAAAAAAATATTTTTAAAAAGCAGGAAGAGTGTTGGTATCTCTAAACTGAAAAGAGAAAAAATGAAGGATGTACCAAAAGACAAGAATTTAACCCTTTGGTCTATAACCACAAGTCTGACTTTTGGTAAAGAATTTGTGCCATAAACAAAAGCCACGAGTCTGACTCGCGGTAAAGAATTTGAGTCATAAACAAGAGCCACGAGTCTGAGTCGTGATAAAGAATTTGTGTCATAAACAAAAGCCACGAATCTGACTCGTGGTGAGGAATTTGTGCATAAAATGCCGCGTATTAGTAGAGAACCAGCAATTAGGAGTTATTCTACATCGAATATTTTTCCCTTTGATTGTAACGTCATTATTTTTTTTTTTGGGGGGGGGCAGTTGTTTTTCTGACGAAATTGGATGATCTGTTACTTCCCCGTATAGCTCCGTTATGTCACACGTTTCAAATATAATTTCGTATACAGAATTAAAACTCTCTTATCCCCAACATGCCAAACTCTCATACCTATCATGCAATTATTTTTGTCAAACTGATCAATTGATTATGATTACACCCTAGACGTCTTAAAATTACTATTTGTACTTAAACATTGTTTATTATTTCACAACTCCTTTCGTTACACTAAAATATATATGTTTTGAAAAGTATACATTTTGCGCCAGTTCGAGTACACGGCTGAACAGTTGAATGGCACGGCGCGCCACCGAATTTCTTGTTTACTATAACTCGCACTATTCGTAGATATCGTGTAGGCCAAGGGGCTAAATGCAATAAGAATAAAATGAAATTAAATCACGTCTTCCTTCATTGAGAACATACTTCATAGAACAGTTCATTGCTTCACATGAAGCTTTGTTATCAAGTGATCATTCTTTCAGGCTTCGTGAAACCATCATTTAATTTTATTTTTTTGTTATGTAATTTTTTTATCTTAAAGTGTATAATTCACTGAAAGGTGAAGTGTGATTTCAGTAGTCTTCTTAAAAGACTGTCTTCAGAAACGCACTGTGAAAGCAAAATAATATACGAAACCAAAATTTAAAAAAAAAAAAAAAAAAAATTATGAAACTTCAAGACCGCAAATGCTTTCTATGAGTATTTTGTTTTCATAACTGTAGAGCTGAAAAAGAGGCTGATTTTTTATAAAAGGCTTTAAGAAACCTAATGGTGATCTCGACGATCCTTTAGTTTTGTTGTAGTTAAAATTAGAGATATGGTTTAAAAATTAAACAGATAAATTATACCATGTTACTTGTAATATTAGTATTATGTGAACAAGCTTTCTGTTACGTTGGTAATATTCAATTATTATTATAGTATTTGTACAAAGGTCAGCAAGTAAACCGATAAGTATGAATATCGAATGCTTAATTGAGTTCATGTGGTTAAATAAAAAAAGAGTAATAAAAATTACAATTTCGCAAAACAAACACAGATGCGTTTTATAAGTAAATTTGCATTATTCAGTCATAACTGCAATGACTTTTTTCTTTGTTTTTAATGTTTTATCATTTAATATTTATGCAATGTTTGGCTAAATTCAACCTCAAATTTTATTTTCAAAACTTTTCTCTTCTATCTGTTTAATGGTATTATTTCAGCAATGTACCACGGTGCTAATAATAACAAAAAATCTGATTCATTTTTTCACGTATTTATTTTGTCCTAGGAGAGAAAAAGTGATAAAATTTATGAAAGCAAATTCTAATTTTAGCACGATTTTTGCGAATCAGTCTTGTTTTTCTAAATGAAACTTTTATCTAAAGACTCTTTCAAACATGCAAATAATTCACCTTTAAAATAAAATTTCAGGATTCCATTTCTGTTATAACATAATTTTATTATTTTATTAGTTAAAATTATTATAAGGCAAAAGAACTTAAATTAAAATCGGTATAGAATTCAAAAAATTATCTAAATTTATTTTTTCTTTCTTTAGCAATTTTAAGCAATTTTAAGCAACTTTAAATACTTACAGTAAATTTTTCCTAATTTAAAGAATTTTTATTACCTGTTTGTTATTTTCTAATTATTTATACTAGCAATGCAGTAATATTTTTGAAAATTGTTAGGAATGAAAATAAGAGCTCTATACAGAGAGCAAAACAATTCAGTAACTATGCTCCTAAAAGTATTATATAATTATTATATTTTGGGTCAAAGTAATATTACTAAAAAGCGTTAGGAACGGATGGAAAATAAGCAAAAATGTACAGTTCGAGAGCTGTACTTTCTGGTTTGATTCCATAGAAATTAAATTCTTTTATTATAGTTTTAAGTTGTGTTTCTACGATACTTAAGTTTTTGAAACAAATTAGAAATAGTGTTTTTACTACTATGATCGAAAAGTTCGAGGAATGATCCCCAAAACGCAAAATTCAATTTTTTGGTCAATTTTTATTACACTTTCTCCAAAGTTATCTTTGCCATTGCAATGCAGTTACACAAACATTTTTTTTTTCAATCATCGAAGCGTATTTCAAATTCGTTTTTACAAAAAAAAAATCCATCAAAATTCTATTTATTGCATCAATAAAACCCAAATGATGAACATGAAGTGGAAGAAAGTCGTGTCTTTTGCTATCAGGAGAATATGTATTTATCGAAGTTTGTACTCAAGTAAAAAATTCATAAACTTCGAAAGCGGTATGAATAGATGCATAATGACGGAGCAAAATTTCATGTGTTAGCTAACCGGCTACAATTTAACTCATGTTTTTGCGAATTACTTCAAGTAAATGCCGAAGATTTGATTAATGGGTAGAAATTCATGATGTACAAGACTACGACATAAGAAGAAAAAAGTTAACATTATTTTTATTTTTGATCAATTACGACGTGGTCTTTTCAGTCTTGCTTCACCTTTCGAACGCCATTTACTTAAATGCTTAGTATTTTGTGGACCAAAAGTATAGATACATGTTTTATCATTAGAAAAATTGTATTTTAAGAAAACCTAGCTTTGAGCAAGCATCTCCTCGGCCATTTTTTGTTTTTGAAAAAAAAAAAAAAAAAAAAAGATTTCGAAAATGCTCGAGAAGCGATGCACAATTAACCCAAATGATTTTTTAAAAATATTTTGCAGGATCCAAATAATGTAAGAACTCGTTCAGTGATATACCTAACTGTTAAACTAAGATCCATATTCACTCGATCTTTAAATTGACAGCATGTTACTCGTTAGTTCAAGAGCATGGTATACCAGACCATGTTTAATTTTAAACACATGTTCTTCCTTTCTTAAATATTTTACAAAACTCAGAATATCTTGTTTTGGACAAAATGATGTCCTTAGAGGCTTTCTGCAACATTCAAAACCCTTTTTTTATGTATATCAGAAATCCCACTGAGAAATTCTGATTCTTTGATTTTCCAAAATAAAGCTGGACACTTGATGTACGCCTCTACTATTACTACTATTTGTTACTATTTTACCATTGCTTATTCCTTTCACCAAATTTTCATTAAGTTTCTCAATTACATTCGCCGTGAAATCGAAAATCAAAATTTGCTTATTCATTAAAAATAAATCTACTATAAACTAATCTACTATACTTGAAAATATTATAATGCAATGAAATACGGTTTGTTGCCAAATATCGATGTATGAAATAAATGAATATGTATAAGAATTTTACTTATAAATGAATATTTTACTTGAATAATTCCTGATGCGTTTTGATTATAAATTTCAATAATGATGCAGATGAAAAAGCTAAATATTTCTAATTTCTGCTTTCAGGTATGGTTCCAAAATCGAAGAGCTAAATGTCGGAAACATGAAAGTCAAATGCAAAAAAGTAAGTTACATTTTCATTATTAATGTAAAATTATTTGTATTACAAAATTGAATTTTTTTTCGTATTCTTATAGTTCAATATTTTATATCAAAATAAGAGTAATATAAATGATTTGTTACTTTATCAGATAACAGATTTTTATAAATCTCTAGGATCATTTCGTTGGAAATTTCAAATGCTTTCTGTTGAGGTTGTTGTTTCCTATCCTCCTTATTTGAGAAGATCTCAATAAGGTCCATGAATTTGTCGTGACCAAGAAATAGTAATTTTCTTTCATTGGCCAAGTACTGGGGCACCTTATAGGCGACAATTCGATTCTTTTTCAGCTCCTTCTGGAGATGTGAATCCCATGTATTTTTATCCCCTCTTCATCTACCATATCCTCTCGACAGAACTTGGCAAAATTATAGGACCCCATACTACAAAGATGCTATGCACTTACAAATACCCATGCTTCCTCCGCTATTTAAACCCGATCAAAAGAATATGGCAGCCGGCTTCCATACCACCATGCAACACATCGGCGGAAATGTTTTCTTTTCTTTTTAAATATCAAACTGAGTTTTTTTTTTTTTTTTTTTTTTTTTTTTTTTTTTTTTTTTTTTGACAGCACAGTTTTTACAGTAAAATAAATAATGTGATGTGGATATTAAGGGTATTACTAATTTCATTAATCATTGAAAATTAATAAATATCTTTTATTTTTAAGAATATTTTAATCTCTATATGCTGATTTTCATTTCTTTCCCTTCTCCGTACCTTAATAGAGACAGTTTAGAATCAGCAGTTGAGGAAAGCATTAATGAAATTTGAATAACATCGATATTATGTGATATAATATGCACAATATCTGCTATGATTTATTAAATCACAAAAAAACTCTTTCATAACAGTAACACTATATTACAATGGGAAAACTGCAAAAGAATGTTATTTATTAGCCTCTGTCTCAAAACTACCATTTAATAACTCTCAATAATTAACTCTCATGCAACTGAAAGTAAAATATTGTGTCATTGAATAATGTTCCGGAATAGGAGGAGTAATTAATGCAACAAAGTAAACTTTAATGGTCGGAACACGTATAGACAACTCCTTCCTCCCGTAAGACATATAGCGTTCCCATTTCCCAGGAAGTTTTAGATAATAGCAGCAAACCATTCTTTAAAAGTGTTGTAGATCCACTCATGAACAGCCTCTTGAACTTCTTCCCTGCTGACGAATAATTGACTAGCTAGGTTCTTTTCCATCCTATTGAACAGCCGATGCAACAACTCCTGGAACATTATCAGCAAACCTCTGAAACATCACTGAATATAAATTTTTAAAATTTTCGAATCTTCACTTACGTGTGTCTGTAGTTTCTCTGTTAATAACCATTTCACATTGTCCGTTGTAGAGTCATTAGGTTTTTTGAAGCAGGAGACGTGAAAATGTGCTATACCCTCGCCGAGACTCGAATCCTGGACTTGTCGAGTATGCGTCGGGTTATGCTTTCAATTACACCACGAAGACATCCAAAAAGGAGGGAGAAAATACCTTTAATACTCCCCCATTTTAAAGGGCGACTGGGGATTAGGGGATCCAATCGCCAAATCCTGATGGTGACGAATTATCGTCCTCCGCCTTTTAGTTCGAGTGCCACTTGTAGATTCATTAGGTTTTTTTTTAAAGCAGGAGAAGTAAAACATGTGGAGTTCCCTCCGGAAATGGAACCCAGGATCTCTCGAATACGCGTCGAGTGTGCTTCCATTTACATTGCAAAATCATGCGGAAGGGAGGGAGAAAGTACCTTATAACCTTATCGAAGATAGTACTTCGTTCTGTTAGTATCAAGATGTATACCTAAGGTACGCTTCACTCTGATCTACTATCGCTCATTCCTTTTGTTATATTTTCATTTCTCATGCTGAAGGTATATCTCCTTCCACTGCATATCGTTACACTTGTCCACGGTTTTCTGCAGCACACTTTACATAATGATTCATCACTGATTTCGAACTAGAAAATATGGTCTCATCGGAGAACGCTGAACTCATAATACCATTTGGAAGAAGCATCGCCACAATATTTAATTTTTTGCTATATTGAGAAAACAGCATGAATCCAAATCATTATCAAAGGGTCTTTTAAATGCCTAAAAGCTAAAGATTGTTTGGGATATTTATTTTGCACACTCAATTGGAAAAATTCCATTTGCGTAGCGTTTTGCCTTTTTTACTTTTCATCACTTTGTGAAATTTCTAAAAGGCATTTTGTAACATTTGTAACAAAATTCGCATCTTGTAAAAAGCAATTTTAGATTTGCACAGCGATTAAAAAACTAGCAATTCCGAGAATGACATCATAGAATCCTCTTCTTGGGAGCACGAAAATTGTTCTAACTGCTTTTGCGTTTACAGTGATTTTAAAAAGGGATGTCTTTAAATGAATGCTATAAATGGATATTTTAATATTCCAGTCCATAATAAATTAATGAGAAAGTTTATATCAATATTACAGAAAACAGTATTTCAATGCTGCATAATGATGCAATAAATCACATTAGTAACGAATCACAGATTTTCAAGTAATATTGACACAGGATATATAAACAGTAACTTTATCACAGATCATATTTCCGCGATTAATTTCGTGAATTTTAAGGAAATTTCTAATATTTCGTGAGTATCAGGTTTTTCCGTGAACTTCAAATAAACCCACGATTTCAGATTTTTTTCTACCATTTTTTAACTTATCATTTCTTACAATTTTTACAATTATATTATACACTTACAATTATAGAACAGCATGAGCAGAGTATTTCCTTTCTACAAACATGCACCAATATTTTCGCAGTTAATACATTGAATATCGCATCGAACCCTAGGGACCGGCCTTGAAGAAAGCAAAATGTGCTTGGCGTTCAGCATTTAAATAACAGACTGTTTCTTAGATTTCTTATAACAGTGTTGTTCTAGATTTAAAAGTAAGTTATTTTAATAAAAAAATTTAAAGCTTGTCATTCTATTTACGCCAACAAATTGCATCCAACAAATGCATGCAAAACATTTGTGCCAACAAATAATTTCATCGCCAAACAAAAAGGCATATTTGATTAGGAATTTTTTAGTTAACAACAAAGCACTCGAGGACTATCTGCATAAAGAGAGGGATGACTTCTTGTTATCTGTGCCTTTCTTCAGATAGCGTCGAGTTCAGAAATATTTGAAATTGAGTATCATTCTGTGACTGAAACTTTTGACTGAAGAATGTCTTAAACGCAAAAATTACCTTTTTTAACCAAGAAATGTGTTGCTTGCTTGTAAAGATAATACATGTATTTACACTAAATTTATAAAAAAAAGTTCACAAATAGTAGAGGAAGGTTGCTATCGATGAGCCACTTTCTCAAAATGATCCTTAAAATCGTCATATTTGGCAATTTACAGGTTAATATAAATACTACTTTCCATACAACTTATATCTAGAAATAGATATTATAATTATGAAATGTTCAGTAAGTATTAGAAAAATAGAAATAGGTGCCACTGGCCCAATGAAGGAAACCGGTCGCCTTCATTGAGTAGCGGAGTTTCTTACAAATGCGTCGGTATTTTCTTTTTAATGCAATATCATCTAAATACACGTCAATAAAATGTTTAAAACTATTTTGAGTTTTATTCTTAAATATAAAATACTGGATAAAACCTAACATAGAAATATATTGAATCACTGAAAATATATTGAAATATATTGATAGCTTCGCATTATCCACAAAGAATCAAAAGTTAGATTTTAGTTTAGTCTTTATAATCATAAAATAGGCATAATGTAGATTTTAGTTTAGTCTTTATAATCATAAAATAGGCATAATGTAGATTTTAGTTTAGTCTTTATAATCATAAAAAAGGCATAATGTAGATTTTAGTTTAGTCTTTATAATCATAAAAAAGGCATAATGTGAGAATCTATGAATAAAGCTGAATTTCGTTTATTAGAAACAATTTAGTGAAACAGAATTTGCGAGTAATCCATAATTAGGTTAGTATAAAAAGAACAATAATCATAACTCGAAAACTTTCAAATAGCATAAAATAATTATTAATCCTACGGTCAATATTAGGCTGTAAATCATACACAAATTACTGCACCAATTATTCGTTCTTGACGAGTTCGGCTGCATTTTTCGCAATATTACATTTTGATTCCCTTTCTGACATTAGCACACTTCTCATAAACTCACACTTTACACGATAGATACTGAATCATGTCTTCCTTGAAGTCATCACAACAGCATGAATCCTCGTTGGAATTTATAGGCCTATTTACTGAAGGCAATGGAAGTTTAGCCACTCTTCCAGGAACTGCTTGCATGGGCCCTAGTTGTTATCTGTACTGTTTTTTGTGCTTTATTTGAGTCTTTGCCAACCGAGAATTTAGACGGAATCGGGAAGATTTCAGCTAATGAAACTTTAACGTTTGGCAACAAAGTTGATGCACCAACTGGAAGAGGTTCTGATTCTGTTGCGCTGGTTAGTTGGCACAGATTTTTTCCCCTGGAGCCTGCATGCCATGTGACATTCCACATATAGAAGCAATTAAGTTTATGTCAGGAACTTCTACAACAGGAACATCATTTGCTTCAAACTCCACTGCTGCAACAAAGTGAGAATCTTGAAATACACTGTTAACTAGCCAAACTTCTGTCTCAGCAAAACATTCGTTGCCGTTCCTACTGTTGCTGCTTGTCCATATGCTTTCCCAGACAATCCAATTTCCCTTCTCTAATCGTAATGAAATATTATTACATTAATTAATATATCCCTATTAATTAATGTAATAATATTTCATTGATCTAGTAATGTTTCATCGATGTAATTGATATGTATTTTATTCTTCAACTCAAAAAGTGTCAAAATATTAGCCTCGGTACTTGATCCATGGTTAAGTCACCAGCCCCTTCATAACAACGCAGGCTGGCTCATTGAAAGCAACTAGCAGTCGGTATGTAATACGCC